TAAGGTTGAGGTGAGATCAGCCATGATTGTATTAAATTGCAGAGCAAGCTTGAGGGGCTGAATGGCCTAATCCTGTTCCTAGTTCTTATATTCTTAAATGGAGCTTGAGGTTTAATTTCAATTTGATTGTCTCAAAAGATGTGACAGTATGCTTCATCTCTGAAATGATGAGATTCTCACCAAGAACCACACCCAGTGAGAGTCTCCCATCCGAGGTGCAGTATCGTTGGGATGGTAGGATGGCGCACTAGTCTTGTTAAGAAGCTCATGGGTGAGACATTGAAGGAAGTTTCAATATAAATACAGAGAATAATTACAGTGGGGTCATAAATGATGAACTATATGTTCCACGGCTGATAATATTTCATTGAACTCACGTATTCTGAGCACAAGTCACTGATCCTTCAATTGCTTGTGATTTCCAGATCTATTTTAGTGCCAGGTCAGTAGCAAAGTCCTCTTCCTGAATAGATACAGGCTCGTACCTGCATCGGCCTTTCCGAGTTATATTAGAGTTCACTGCTGAGAAACTCACACTTGGACCAAGCTACCTGTTGTTATGAGGTACAAGCCAACAGGGGTACAAAGGAGTGCCACTCCTACTCAACAATCCTATCTGATGAAGGGTCTAGGCCCGAAACGTCAGCCTCTCTGCTCCTATGATGCTGCTTGGCCTGCTGTTTTCATCCAGCCCTGCACCTTGTTGTCTCGGATTCTCCAGCATCTGCAGTTCCTACTATCTCTAATCCTATCTAACAACTGTTTCTTCAGCCAAGTCATTGATATCTGGTGCGAAGCTGGGGCCCCGTACAAATCACTGGGGAAAATTATTTGTCACATCATGCTAATAAGGGAACAAACATTTTATGTTTATCTGAGATAATAGTGTAGAGCTGGAGGAACACAGCAAGCTAGACAGCATCAGAGGAGCAGGAAAGTTGACGTTTCTGGTTGAGTCCCGACCAGAAACGTCAACATTCCTGCTCCTCTGATGCTGCCTAGCTTGCTGTGTTCCTCCAGCTCCAC